CTGCGGGACGGTCGTTGAGGAGAATGCGATTGTGTCGGAAGTTGTGTTTGGCGAGTCGTCGAGTGGCGCGGCGATTGTGCAGGAGCCGTTTGTAGGGCAGGGGGCAAGTGAGTAACAGTTGGAGTTCTTGAAGTTGAGGTTAAACCAAGTTATATTTATGTGTTGTTATTGTTGTTGTGCTTAGCACATGCAAAGATGGGAGTTCCGTATAGGAAGAGAAATACTTCTGAATCTCGAGAGCAGACAATTGATAATGGTATGTTCAAGTTTGATTTGGTGACATGGTCCTCACAGTCACGAATTTGTTCTAGCAAGCAGGAAGATCCGGAACGTCGGAACCATTATGCGTCTCTCGGAGGTCGTCCAGACAGCCGCAATTCGCGTGTATACTCTGGCTGTTGAACATAAGTATACATTTCTCCAATTCGTCCAAACCCTCAACCTCCAGCTCCATCAATGTCTGTAATGATGCCTTCAGCACCATAAACAGAGCAAGCTGCAAACGACATAGACCCGAAATTCAAAAGCAACAAGCCTTGGACCTTTCCAACAAAGGTTTGCAAAAATCTTGCAACAATTAGCTGGACTACTGTATATGAGTGCAGCATAGAGCTGACACAAAACCTAGAACTTCTTAACGTTGCCATCCCGCCTGTACTCAAGCCTAAGGTTCGCAAGCAGTGAGGCCACGGTCAGAGTTGTAAGAAGAGTGAAGGGACGACTTCGCAAGGTTGCACTGTCTGGGTGGGCAGGAAGCATCAAATCAAGGGTGTAGATGACGAAGAAGCGGAGTATAAGGCCGTCCAATGCCCGTTCCATATCACTCAATAATGCAATAGCTGTGCTCAATTCTTGTTTTTGATGCTCTGTATTTTGTTCCCTGGAACAGGCTTTTAATACAATTAAGAGGATTGTAACCAGTTAGGAGTGTTTTACATTAGTAGATTACTATTCTAGAGAGAACATTTATATAACTACAAATGCCTTAGACTATAGAACCAGAGTAGTGTTGAGTGTCAGAATGTCTTAGAAGTCAGCCTAACCAGAACTACTTACAATTGTCTGAGCTCTTAAGAAATAGTAAGTATATCTTCTTAGGGTTCATTTTTATGTTTATACTAATTACTGTACACTTAAGTATTTTAACACTCAGAAGGATCTGTCCTAAAGACAAGCCTAGTAAGTAGAGTATCTTTCCTAATATGACTACAAGCTACACTATGTTAAGGGGGAGGATAATACAGTTACAGACACCCTATCTAGGTACTTAGAATGTGAATTAGAACTTATAGGAGAAGACCCTCTCAAAGACAAAATCATTAGATTAGTACTATAGATTAGGGCAGATCCTAATCTTCTAAAGTTGATCTAAGACTGTTATAACACAGATGAGTTCTCTTACAAACCCTAAGCTAACCTAATTAGTATTCAGAGTACTTGTAAAGAAAATAGGCTACTCTACCTAGATAATTAGTTAGTTATTCCTAGAACAGGGAACCTTTAGGAGATACTATACTACTTAGTATATAATGAGTTGGGTCATTTTAAAACAGACAAGATATACCTAGTACTCTAAGAGTTGTATTACTAACTAAATATGTGTTAGAATCTGGTACAGAACTATATTCTGGGTTGTAATATGTGTTAACAGAACAAGAGTACAATGTCTAAACTAACCAGACCCCTTTATCTACTACCACTTCTGAAGGACTGTTTTAAGAGTGTAGTAATAGACTTTATTAGGCCCTTACTAGAAGATGATAGGTTTAATAGAATAGTTACAATAATGGATTGTCTTAGAAGTACTAATATTCAGATCAAACCCTGCTAGATAGAGATAATAGTAAAAGACTTTACAGAGCTATTCTTCAGTAAGTAGTATTGTAAGAACAGACTACCCCTAGAAATTATATCAGATTAGGACCACTTATTCCTATTCTACTTTTAGACTGTCTTGTATAAACAGACAGGTGTAAAGTTAAAGATGTTTATAGTCTACTACTCTGAAACTGATAGAGCTAGTAAACACACTAACAAGACAGTAAACCAGCTCCTTAGATTCTATGTAGACTGACAGTAACAGGGATAAAAGTCTAGACTTCTATAGGTCTGTTTCTGTATTATGAACTTAGTAAATGTGTTTACTAGATACTCTCTATTCTAGCTCTAATACAAATCTACCCCCTATTGAAACAATTAGTATCATACTAAGAACTGTACATTACATACAGACAATCACAGTAATTAATTCTGAACATCCATGTGGCTCATAAAAGTGTCTTCTAAGAACACTCAACTATTCTACATTGTAAGCATTTACAAACAGAACTATAAACATGTACAGTCTCAGAATGGACTTACACACACTACTTACTTTACAGGATGTATAGATCACATACTTATTACAGGCTTAGAACACAAGTTGTGTTACAGTAGGTGGCTCAGTAAACTATTACATCATTATTGCCTAGATTAAAGTATTGTAATCTTCTAATCAGATAGAACATTAGGGTGATCAAAGTAATGATCTCAGAAGACAGCCAGAAATCTCAGAACTCTCTACACTTTGTCTGTACTAATCAGATAGTAACAGTATGAGAACCTTCTACTTCTTTCAATGTAAATCTTGTCTTTCCTTTTGTGTAACATTTCCTGTGGCCAGAATACAGACTACTTAAATTTCTTTATACATTTTTCACCCTATTTTCTTCTAACCTCTAGCAAAAGGTTCTCTTATTTGTTCTTGTATATTTTGTTATTTTTCTTTTGTTCAACTATGACATTTCCCTATTAGTACTATACTTTTCTGGAACTTGGAAAACTATAAATACAGCTACTCATGTACTAGTTACAGAGGGGAATTCAGATAGTTCACTCATTAATTTAACTCTTGTCTTTTGTCTCAAAGTCCTCTAGCATAAGGTATAGTCTTAGTCTTTGTTGTTTCTGTATTAGTTTGTTTATTGTATACTTTATAAGTATACATTCTGTTATTCATGTCTCTCTTCTAAGGTCACAATCATACTAGAAGAACCTACACCCATTCAGAACCACTCTAGTCTTACAGAACTTGTGGTTTAGCTCCTCCTCAAACTTAACAAATCACCTGTGTTCTTCTCTAAACACATTACAGGAGTTTCAGTACACTGTCACAGTGTATCCATCTCTTTACTTTAAGCACTCACACTCACTAACAACCCCTTACCCCTTTAGTAAGTCAACCTCTAAACTTGCCTTACAAGTACAACCTCAACCTTTATAATCTATACAATCTTACAATCTACACACAATTCAACTTATAGAGACTGAGTGTTGACCAAAGTATAGTAGTAAAGACTACCTTAAACAGTTAAGGAACACATTCATTCTCTATTATTAACACACTTGCTATCTGTTGTCAGATTATTTCCCTAATTATTATAGATAATAATGTATTTATACAATATTTTAATATAATTATAAACTGTCATTTTAACAACAAACAGATATAAGTAAAAACTTATCTTATACATCTTATATACATATGTTTTCCTTGTTAAAATTTCAAGTATTATAATACTTAGTCATTTTGTAAGGTACACTTTAAGTACTTGTATATCTTAGTAAGTACTACAATTCTTATTATTCTTGACTAGATAGTCAAGACTTTTTAGTAACTTTCTTAGCTTATTATTATCTTTCTAAAACCCTTAGGTACACAATAAGCTCTTTTACAAAATGTAGAAAATATATATAATTTATATACATATAAGCTAATACAAAGTTTGAGATATTTTCCTAATATAGTACAATAAACATTATAATTAAGCTATTAACTACTACTATTAGTACAACAGATGTTACAATTAAGCTGTTAACTATACTGTATTTGTTATATACTTGTTATACTTACTATAATGTGTATCTCTCTATTGTTAAAGTGTTTGTCAAGACAGTCTATTCCTTACTATACTATCTCTTACTCTGTCACTGTCTACTGTTTACTATTATTGTTTACTGTCTACTAAGAGTATAAAGTCCCTTTCCTTTCCTTTCCTTTCCT